CATGAGTATTGACAGGTGAAATGTCATGTGTACTGACAGGTGAAATGTCACATGTATTGACAGGTGAAATGTCATGTGTACTGACCGGTGAAATGTCATGTATTGACAGGTGAAATGTCATGTGTACTGACAGGTAAAATGTCATGTATTGACAGGTGAAATGTCATGTGTATTGACAGGTGAAATGTCACGTATTGACAGGTGAAATGTCATGTGTATTGACAGGTGAAATGTCATGTGTACTGACAGGTAAAATGTCATGTATTGACAGGTGAAATGTCATGTGTATTGACAGGTGAAATGTCATATGTACTGACAGGTGAAATGTCATGTATTGACAGGTGAAATGTCATGTGTATTGACAGGTGAAATGTCATATGTACTGACAGGTGAAATGTCACGTGTACTGACAGGTGAAATGTCATGTATTGACAGGTGAAATGTCATATGTACTGACAGGTGAAATGTCACGTGTACTGACAGGTGAAATGTCATGTATTGACAGGTGAAATGTCATGTGTACTGACAGGTGAAATGTCACGTGTATTGACAGGTGAAATGTCATATGTACTGACAGGTGAAATGTCATGAGTATTGACAGGTAAAATGTCATGTATTGACAGATGAAATGTCATGTATTGACAGGTGAAATGTCATATGTACTGACAGGTGAAATGTCATGAGTATTGACAGGTAAAATGTCATGTATTGACAGATGAAATGTCATGTATTGACAGGTGAAATGTCATATGTACTGACAGGTGAAATGTCATGAGTATTGACAGGTAAAATGTCATGTATTGACAGATGAAATGTCATATGTATTGACAGGTGAAATGTCATGTGTACTGACAGGTGAAATGTCATGTGTACTGACAGGTGAAATGTCATGTGTACTGACAGGTAAAATGTCATGTATTGACAGGTGAAATGTCATGAGTATTGACAGGTGAAATGTCATATGTAATGTGTGTATGTCAAATGTTGTGTATTGACATAATAAAAACTATCCCTTACTGGCAGTAGATCCTGGTGTAGTAGTGCTACTGGGATTAGCAGTACTAGGTGTGATTGGTGAGGATAAAACACCACTGCCTCCACTATTTGTTGGAGTGGATCCAGGTGATGGCACAAACAAATCTAAACCTATCAGATCATTGCTGAATGTTTTACTGTGGAAATAAAACAGTAAGATCAAATAATATGTAGATTGAACATTGCATTGAATAAGCTAGACTAAATGCTATTGTCATGACAACACAAAATTGATTCAATTGAGCACCAGACCATACATACTCAAATATTCTGTATTTGCTCAATACCGGTAGTGAGTGCATTCATTTATTTAAATGACAGAGGTGAGTCTGTGGTCAATATAAGCCATATTTCAACACTTGTGTAGTCATTGTAAATGGGGTTGACAGGATTGGGGTTAATGAACTATGACTCAATTTCTAATTAAGACAAGTCAAGTTCACTAGTAAACAAAACTAAAATGGGTCAGCCACCTTCAATCAGAATGAAACAAACGACATGTAAAGTTTGGCTTTAATCAGTGAAGGAATGTCAAATAGCATTCATTAATTACAAATTTGGACATTTTGAATCTGATCTAAAAAAAACATTACCAGATATGTTCAATGTATGTACCAAGTTTGAACAATAACCATCCATGTATGGCCGAGATTCAGACTCAGAATGGCAGAAACTTGATTTTGATGGAATTTTAACAATTACGTTTTCACTACCATTTTTACTCTTTTCATTCACAAAATAGTCATGTTTATAAGATTGGGACAAAAATAGCCAAATTTTTTGAACAAAAACTGACACAAATTTGGTCTGTTGGCTTCAAAATTAAAGTTCATTTCCAGAAATATTGGAGAATATAAGAAAAAAAGTGCAGACCAATTCAGATGAGAAAGACTGGTGGGGATGCATGGATAAACATACAAAGGTCAACCAACGAGTCCTTTTTTTTCAGACTTCACATGAACAAGACTTAAAATGGCATTAAATATACACACATCGATAGGACATGCTGAAACACGTTAAAAAAAACAAGCCATATACCTTCCGTCACTTTTTCGTGATTTGGTCTCTCCATCTGCAAGCACAAAAATTATGATTGTGAATAGACCTAGCGTGGTGGTATGAAATGATTTGTCATTAATTCTATGTATAGCTAATAGTAAAAGAGGAGTCATTAATATGAATCCGAGAATGTTCTAAGGCAACAGTCTTGGACGATTCCATTTGCTAATGTGGATAAGTGCACATTTTAAATCATAAGATTAAAATTTACTGTGACTGAAATAGGATGAAATAAAACTTACTTGCTATTGTTTTCCTGGTCTGCGTATGAAAGAGAACAAGAGAGATAACAACAAAATTATTATTCCATAGATCTAATGTAAGCAGATAATGACCACCGATGAAGGCAATCGAAAAATAATCGTCTATACACCTATAGCAAAATTGCAATGCTTTTTTTCAGTGACAATCAGTGTTATCATTTAAGACAAAGCAAAACACTATTCCTGGCATTTAGGTACATCATGATTGCGAGTTATGGACAGCGCTTAGAGTCATTTTGTCATGTAAACAAGTATTAATATAAAATACATGTAGCATTGTTCTTTTCACCACTAGATGGCGCTATCACATTTGTCAGTTTGATTACAAATGTACATACCATTGGTTGTGGTGATAGCGTCAGCCCACCAATGGCTGCTTTCAATTCATCGACTGAATTGCCGACAGTACTTTTTTGACCTTCTGATACAATAGCCGGCTTGATTTCAACATGAATTTTCCTCCTTTCTTCTTGATCAGAATCGTCATCAGAGGATGAATAAAAACTGTCCCTTTTATTCTGTGCACAGAGGTCAAGGGTGAAATAAAATGCTCAATTTACAAGATTTTTTTTCTAAATTTGAAATTATTCTAAAATTATTAAGAATAATGGATGGCAGTTTGGGGCGCATGGAAGATATTTAATCACAAGTTCTTACAGCCCTGAGTGAATTCCTTGACCTTTGAACCTTCAGACGCCAAAGTCAGTTTTACCACTTTTCACAGAATAAACATGCATAATTTGTTTTTTTCATATTCCTAATATTTTTTAAAATTTGTTATCAAGGTCAAACAGATGGGAAATTACGTCCATTCGGTCCAAAAGTGATGAAAAAAAAAAAAAAATTAGAAAAATACAGATATATGCAAAATGTTGCATCAATTTCATATTATTCAAAAGTTGAAAATTACAATATGGTGTTTTGAGAAAATTTGAATGGTAATTTGTTAAAATTAACATGGCATATGACGGAAATCTGAATGACGTGCGTTGGAAATTTGAATGGTGTATAATCAAATCTATTTAGTGCCGAAAATCTAAATGCCATGTGATCGAAGTTGAAAGCAATATGTTAAAAATTTGTATATGAATTGTGAAAATTAATATGGCATATGACGGAAATCTGAATGACGTGCGTTGGAAATTTGAATGGTATATGGTCAAATGGCATCTAAAATATGTATTTGCTCAAATTGTTTTTTGAAAATAGGGCAATGAAGTGATTATTTTTCTTTTTTTTAAAAACACATTTGATCACAAATTTTCATCAATTTGTAAAAACAGAGGGCGCTGTGCAATGGCACTTTCCGTCTTATTTATATACATGATTGTGGTTCCTGTAAGTTAGTATGTTTATTTTTGAGAATTTTACCTGTATATACATGTCTGAATGACGTGCGTTGGAAATTTGAATGGTGTATAATCAAATCTATTTAGTGCCGAAAATCTAAATGCCATGTGATCGAAATTGAAAGCAATATGTTAAAAATTTGTATATGAATTGTGAAAATTAATATGGCATATGACGGAAATCTGAATGACGTGCGTTGGAAATTTGAATGGTGTATAATCAAATCTATTTAGTGTCGAAAATCTAAATGCCATGTGATCGAAATTGAAAGCAATATGTTAAAAATTTGTATATGAATTGTGAAAAATAATATGGCATATGACGGAAATCTGAATGACGTGCATTGGAAATTTGAATGGTATATGGTCAAATGGCATCTAAAATATGTATTTGCTCAAATTGTTTTTTGAAAATAGGGCAATGAAGTGATTATTTTTCTTTTTTTTAAAAATACATTTGATCACAAATTTTCATCAATTTGTAAAAACAGAGGGCGCTGT